TACAGTTCTGGTCACCGCATTATAGGAAGGATGTGGAAGCATTGGAAAGGGTGCAGAGGAGATTTACCAGGATGTTGCCTGGTATGGAGGGAAGGTCTTACGAGGAAAGGCTGAGGGTCTTGAGGCTGTTTTCGTTAGAGAGAAGAAGGTTAAGAGGTGACTTCATAGAGACATACAAGATGATCAGAGGATTAGATAGGGTGGACAGTGGGAGCCTTTTTCCTCGGATGGTGATGGCTAGCACGAGGGGACATAGCTTTAAATTGAGAAAATTACCATTTTCTGAAGAAGGGTCCAGACCTGAAACGTCAGCTTTCCTGCTCCTCTGATGTTGCTTGGCCTGCTGTGTTCATCCAGCTCTACACCTTGTTATCTCTGGAGTTTAAAGGAACTGGGTTCAATTCTGGACCCCACCTCAGGCAGGAGAGCTCCTGCCAGATCGTAAATGCCACTTAAACGTTGCTGTTGTATCTGGCAGCACATTCTAGACATTTACCACCCTTTGAGTGAAGCAATATCTGGATTCTAAACTTTTCATCGTTTTCAAATCCCTCCATGGCCTTATCCTTCTCTATAAACCTCTCCAGCTACACCACTCCCTATCTGTGTCACCTCCTCCAGCCTCTATGCCCCTCCCTATCTCTGTCACTTCCTGCTCCAGCCCCTCCGCCCCTCCTTATTTCTGTCACCTTCTCCTCTAGCCCCTCCACCCCTCCCTATCTCTGTCACCTCCTCTGGCCCCTACGCACCTCCCTATCTCCTGTCACCTCCTCTGGCCCCTACGCCCCTCCCTATCTCTGTCACTTCCTCTGGCCCCTCCACCCCTCCCTACCTCTGTCACCTCCTCTTACCCCTATGCCCCCTCCCTTTCTCTGTCAACTCCTCTGGCCCCTGCACCCCTCCCTATCTCTGTCACCTCCTCCTCCAGCTCGTCTGAGATTGCTGTGCTGCTCTAACAACAATCTGATTTTATAACTACGACAGACACAAGTCAGGAGTGTGAGGGAATGTTTTTTTTTTTAATTCATTCACAGGATGAGGGTGTTGCTGGCTAGGCCAGCATTTATTGACCAGGGGGCATTTAGGTGTCAATTGCATTGCTGTGGGTCTGGAGTCACATGTAGGCCAGACCAGGTAAGGATGGCAGTTTCCTTCCCTAAAGGACATTAGTGAACCAGATGGGTTTTTCCCCTGACAATGGATTCATGGTCATCATTATTCTTAATTATAGTTTTTTTTTAAAAACTGAATTGAAATTCCACCATCTGCCATGGTAGGATTCGAATTAGGGTCCCCGGAACATTATTTGGTCCTTTGTGCTAACAGTCCAGTGATAATACCACTAGGCTATCATCTCCCCTTGGAAATATATCACTGTTCCTTCAGTGTCACTGGGTCAAAATCCTGGAATTCCCTCCCTAAGGGACATTATGGGTCGACCTACAGCATATAGACTGCAGCAGTACTAGAAGGCAGCTCACCCCACCTTCTCAGGGGCAACTAGGGATGGGAAATAAATGCTGGGCCCAGCCACCGATACCCATGTACAAGTCAATAAAAAAGTAACTTCTGCCATGTGCCTTCAGTTGTCTAGACCCCAAGCTGTAAGATTGCCTCCCGACACCTCTCTACCCCACTCTCCTCCTTTGAGACCCTGCATAAAACCTACTTCTTTGATCAAACCTTTAATCACCTGTCCTTCTGTGGTTTGGTATTAGATTTTATTTTATAATGTTCCCGTGAAGCACCTTGTTATGTTAAGAGTGCTACTTAAATGCAGCAGCCCTCACTTGATACAAATTCATTTTGGTCTTTGGGAGCTTGCTGTGTAATTGGCTGCTCAGATTGTGCCATTAAGCACCTTGCCAAGCACTTCAAAGTAATCAGGAACATCCTTAGCTGCTTTCCAGCAGTTTTTACATAGATGGCCAGGTTATCTGGAAATTCTGTCTCACTACCTTCTGCATTTTCACAGTAAATGATGCCTCAGTCACGGTGTGTTTTAATCTGAAATGTTGTTAATTCGCAACCAGAGAGCACAGCCGTCTCAGGTTCTGATTGTGCTGTAAAACGAAAGCCTTTTAATTTAACTCCCATTAGATTCTAACAGCATGAGATGATACTTTTATCCCCAACACTGAACTTCAGTGTAGCAGTTTGAAATTGATATTCACAGTCAGTCGCTCCTGGCAAATACCACAGGAGAGACTTTGACATAGAGCGGCCATGATCTTATTGAATGGTGGAACAGACATGATGGGCTGAATGGCCTGTTTCTTTTCCATTGTCTTATGGCAACGTTGCTGCTCAAGCACTGCAGAGGCCCAAGGCTAATGATCTGGAGTCACCGGTTCAAATCCCACACTGGCAGCTGGTGGAATTTAAAATTAAATTTGCTGAGTAAATCTGGAACATGAAGCTAGTGTTGGTGACCATGTAATTATCATTGCTGGCTGTAAATACTTGTCTAGTTCACCAATACCCTTTGGGAAAGGAGGTCTGCTAGTCTGCCTCCATATGGTGTAGTGGTAATGTTCTAGGGACATGGATTCAAATCCTACCGTGTGGCACATGGTGAAATTTTATTTCAATACAAACTAATTCCAGCAGTGACCATGAACCTCTCTGGATCAGTGTAA